ACCCCCGTGCTACTCTAAAGCGAAAATGGTATAATTTAAGAGGCCAGGAAATTTATGATCTCTTCTCTTTCTGAGTTTGTCAATTTAATATACATAGGGGTTAAAAAAATTGGTAAAAATCTAATTTTTACTAAATTGTAAACAGGGGAGGGGGGGTATTGAAATATTTTTATTTATTACAAACATATTAGATATTTACAGATCTTCTATAGGAGCTGGGCACCATGACACAGTCACCACGGTGTACAGTTCCTATAGACTGTGACAAAACATTTTCGTCAAAAATATCTAGTATAGTCAGAACTTTTCTGTTAGAAACAAGCTTTAGAACAAAGTTTATGCGATTTTTCCCTTCTACACCCCCTACTAACCATTGTACATTGGGTATGTTGTCTAAGGTACTAGATGGGTTGGGTATTAACTCCTAATTATAGATAGCGGTTTCGTCAAACTTCACCCCAATACATTCTTCACCCATTTTAACCATTTCTTGCTCTTGTTCAGATATTACTTGCAAAATCAAATCTTTGATTTTAATATAGGTAGTCTCCGAACAATCGCAGAAATCAATGTCCCGTGCTAGGGTATAATCATATACCCAGCAATACATTTCCCTAAAAATTTTTACAAATTCTATATTCGAGATGGCCATTGTAAACCCCTTCTTTAGGCTTGCCTTAGAAGAACACCCGTAAGCATACCTGTCCATATACGGGTAGCCTTAATAATCCCCATTTTATTATCACATCTTACACCATTTTTTTCTTTTTTAAAGAATTAAATTCCAAAAAAAATTCTATAGTTTTGGTATTTTTTAGAAAAAATGCTTCAGTAAATTTAAAGCACAAAATTTTCTTTTTTAGATTTTCCATAATAGGGCTTAAAAAGTAATTCTTTTTTTTTTTACCTTTATCCCATTTTTCCACCCACCCTCCGAATAACTACGTTCGCTTTAAAAAAATTGCATGTAGTTATTTGGAGAGTGGGAGGTAAGATGGAGTAGCGGATTAGATTTAATTTGAAATTTGTTGTGGTCAACCGGTTGATTTGCTAAATAGCGTATATTTATTCTCTTTTTCATCCCCTTCTCGTTTTTCGCATATTTATGTAAATATGCGAAACTCCGTTTATAGTGAGACCTACCGGTTTCACATTCTAAAACGGTCCCTGGAGTGATTCATTCTTGTTGAGCCTCATAGGCGCCAACAAATATTATTTTAAGGCAGCTAATTAATGGATGGCCATATCATTTTTGATTAACATGTATCTTACTAAATAAAGATTGATTAAACTTCTTGCTCTTCATCTATACAATATAATGTTTTTTTTAATGCAGACCAAGTACTTCCAATGGTATTTCTATGTATCCGGTCTCGGGATCCTTACAAATCTCTTATAATATACTGTTTGATGATTAAAGCCTTGTTCATTTTAACTATTATACCCTTTGCAACAATCACTAAAAATAGTTAAACCAAGCTTTACGAAATTTTTAATTCTTAATTTCAATGTTGACATGGTTCTCTCATCAACCTAAAATAATAGGATCAGTGCGGTTATTTCCCCCCGGGGGGAATAACTGCGGTATAATTTTTTTTTATTTTTTACCCTCATATGAGAAGAAGTTTTTTTAGGAGACAATTTTGCCAATTATTGGTACTGATATAAATTTTACTATCAATTTTCTCAAATCCACTGGATTGATCAAAAGGAGCATGTGTTGTGTATATTGCTCTAGAGGTATGGATTGGCGAGCTTGTAGTAAGACCAAAGACAAATTTGTTTGGAAGTGCGGAAACAAACAATGTCTTAAGTTTAAAACTACACTTTTAATCAGAAACAATTTGATTTTTTAAAAAACACGAATTGATTTACAAATGGGAGTATACGCCATTACCATAAGAGCATAAACACTTCGCATAAAAACATTGACGTTTTAAAGGAACAGGACACGATAAGGTAACCGGCATATGCAGAAGTTTTAAATATGCATGTGTAGAGTTCTTTTTTAGAAATTCGATTTCCTTTGGCGGTCCTGTCATTATATGCCAAATTGATGAAAGTTTGTTATTTCACAAGCAAAAATATCATAGGGAACGAACGTCAAAACATCAAATTTGGATCTTTGGAATAGTTGATGCAAGTTATGTACCGGCAAGGAGATACATAAAGATTGTAGCTTGAATAGACAAAACCGCGCTCTTTTATACTATTCGAAGAATATGTTTGCCTTGTACGATTATTTATTCAGATAAGTGGGCTGCATATAGGGATATTACAGGCTTAGGTTTTCAACATTATACAGTAAACCGTTCTTTAAATTTCGTTAATTCTGATTACGATGTCCATACGCAACATATTAAATCGTATTGGAATAAGAATAAAAATTATATTAAAAAAATAAAGGTGCTAAAAAGGAAGACTTAAATTAATGTCTTGCTGAATATATGTGGCGCGAAAGATTTAGAAATAACGAATTTTACAAAATATTAGAATGTTTGACTATAATGAATGAAAATAATTAAATTTCTTTATTGTTTTTTTTCTCAGGGGAAATAACCGCAGTATCAACTTCCAGGGGCAATAACCGCACTGATCCGTGACCTATAGAAATTGTATAAAGCAAAATGTCAACAATAACTGTCGTAGAGATATAAATGTTCTAATTATTTTTAACCCCAATTTCATCATGCCTGAAACTAAAGAAATAAATAATCTTAACGTTAATAACGATTTTGAAACGATTATTCGTTTTTCTTGAAGATTTGTTATTGATAAAAATATGTAATAAAAAGTGCTGACGAAAAAATCGAAGCATATTGTTTAATAAATGGTATAATTTTTTTTACTATTAAAAGTAAATTTTTATTTTTTTTATTTTGTCAACCCAATAAGGGAGTGCAACCCAAAATTTTACAAAAAGAAGGGTTAAAAAATAAATATTTAGATTTAGACTTTATATATATATTGACCAGCTCCGCTATCCAATTGAAAAAAGATCAAAAATATAATGTTTGTTCACCATTTTAAATGGATATTATGCGCCTTTGTGTAAGTACTTATTTTTTTATTTTTAATTACAAATCGGCTCTTTTTATTATAAAAAAAAATTGATATAGACATCTTGTATAAGATTTACAATAACTAAATAAAATCAAAAAAAAATGTACAACAACACTGTTCCGCGTGTCACTATCTTTATTCTTTAAAGATAATGGTTTGGTTACAGATGATATAGATTTCTTATTTAACATTATTCATTTATTAAACTTGCTTATACTTTTATTCTAACTCTGTAACCCTTGTGGTTTATAAGGCTAATTTTGAGTCCGATCCCCCTAATTTATATAAATAATTTTTTTGAAAAAAATAACAAAATCTCAAAGAAATAATTTAATTAAAATCAGAAAGCAATCTTTTTTATGATTTTTTAAAGCATAAAACGGAGCAAATATGGTAAAGTTGATTTTTTTGTGCGACATCGTATTGGTGTTTGCTGTTTGATAGCTGCCCAATTTCCCTCGATAGTGTTGGTATGAACACTAGT